TTATGTTAATACGTAATATAATTTTTACGTTTATGGCAATACGTATATAATATATTAATACGTAGGAATAATGGTGCACAATATAGGCCATGCAGACATATTCGAGGAACTTGATACAGGCAAACCATCAACATTAATTCCTAATTCAATGATAGAAGAATTTAACTTCAATCTATCAATAGAATCTTTCAAACCAGTTAACAATCCAGAATGAATATATTCTTCTGGGTTCATAACTTTCGATACTGCTATCCTTCTCGTCTTTAAAATTGTCCGGGAGTCTGCTGGTAAATCTTTAAAACAATCATCCTTTTTTAAACCCTTAAGCAGTGCCGATACAGCATTATGAGGAACCTGGTATGTAACAGCCCATTCTGCTAAAAATTGCTCTACATCAAAGACTTCTGGTATAACCTCTCCATTGAGGCTCTCCTCAGAATCAGAGCCTGAAATATATATTAATTTTTAAAACATTATTATTATTAAATAATTATATATAATTAAATTCATAATTACCTTGATTCTCATATTCATGAGAAGATGTCGCACCAAAATCATTCTGATCACATGCTAAAACTAAATTATTTACATATTTTTCTATTATCTTTACTATTAAATAATTAGATAAAATTTAATTTATAATTACCTTGATCGTGATGATCATTAAATTGCATTCCAAAATCACCCTGAGTACTGACACTTGTTGAAATTTCAACTTGATGAACAGCACTATCATTTACACTGGAAAGAGTCAATTCTTTCTTTATTTCCGCGGTTATTCTTTCGAATTCCCACTTCACCCTCCTTCTAAAATGTCGGTCTGTCACAAAGCCAATAGATTTGCGAAACTTTCTAGTCGACATATTTATATGGAGTTTCTTTTAGAAAAATAAATCAACAAAATCACGTATAAATAAACCAAGCCAAGCGCGAATTTAAAATGGCGCTCACCTACCTGGCATCTTGCTCGGTCTACGTATGCGCACTACCTACTGCGCATGCGCAGTATCTATCGCGCATGCGTCATAAGTCTGGACCAAAAATGAACCTATTTGGTTAAACCTGGTTGAACCAGAAAGGTCAAATTTCAGATAAACCCACTGACGGTCAAATAATGTGCCAGTTTTGATCAATGTTAACCTAGAGGGTTCAAAATGGGCTAAAGCGGTGCGACCGCGGTTTGACGCGTGCTATGTGGGACATTATGATTTTTTTTTTCATATTTAATTTGAATCTAGGCACATCACGATCAATGAAAAAACATAATTATTTGCTTTTTTTTTTATTCTTATTGTTTAATCAACTTAAAATCCAATGAAGCTAAACCATCCCATAATTATTTTCTGCAAACATTGCATTTCCAGCATTCAACCAACTATTATCTATTTAAAGATTAGTTTTTTTAATACTCCAGATAGTTGATGTAGAGATCGGAAACTTTATAAATTAAAGTAAACAATTTTAAATCTACATTAGCCCTTGAGTACAGTTGTTGTATAATCTATTTAAACAAAATTTTTGAGCTGATACATTTTTTCTTTACATACATTTTTATCGGCAAGATTTAAATTAGAACTACTAGCCATCGTTCTATAACACCAAAAATTTAGTAATAGACTAAAATTCATATTTATTCACAAACAAAGGTTAATATATATTATAAATTAAAAGTAAAAATTGCAAATTTAAAATATATTGCATAAATTTAATGAAAAATTTATTAGGGTTATTTTCTTCGAACTAGCTAAAAAATTTAACAAGATTTGAATATCGCGATAGTTTGACGGCTCTTAATTCATCACTTTCTGTATTTCATCTTAATTATGATTTCTGTAATACTGATGATTTTTTATTGATGCAGTAATGACGGAAAGGGCTGTTTTTACTTGGAATCATATTGCTATCTATATAAGTTGTCAAGTGAAAACCGATGTCACTGCTGTTTGACATCAAGCTCACAGAAGCGGGAATAAAACCTGAAACCTCTGTTTTGAAGTCTCTAGATCAAGGATGTCAAACTCGAAGGTGCAATCGGGCCGCATTAACAAGGTTTAACTACAAGCGGGCCGCATAAGCAAGGTCTAACTTCAAGCGGGCCGCATATATATATATATATATATATATATATATATATATATATATATGACATTAATATATCTTTTGCTATGAGTCTGTTGATTCGAGCAGTAGCACTAAATAAAAAAAACTAAAGCAATTAGGAAATTCGCTTCATTAATCCATACGTTTCGATCTGCATCGAGCCCGTCATTCAGTGAAACAAAGGCTACGCTAATTCATCCAAAACATAAATATATCTATAATAATAATAATACACCCAATAATAAAACAAATTTAATAAAGAAGCATATTTCTATTGCAGTTAAATATTTTATTTTTTTCCTCATTGAATTGTTATTTATTACATATTATCATTTGTCAACATATGCGGGCAGCCGGGCCGCAAAAGTATCCGCTGCGGGCCGCATGCGGCCCGCGGGCCGCGAGTTTGACACCCATATGATCCAGACTAGAGTCTAGATCAAACAACTAGCGCATTTGAAAGCCCAATTCCATTTATACTTATTATGACAATGCAAGTTTTTGGTATGTATTCAGAATTTTTATAATATTATAAATATGCATATGCTTGCATGAATATTTATATTTAATATTTAAAGCTATAGCTTCATGTTTCTGATGTTATCTTTTTCTAACACATTACCTATGTGCCAGACAAAATAATGTTTATCAAAAAAAATAGGTTAAAAATGGTTTTATCTTATTATCTTATATGTATGAATCTTCTCCTATTTTGATCGTTTCCATGTCGTTTTTCCACATCAGATGATTCTATTTATCATCCTTTAAAATTCGCTTTTGGTTTTCAATGTCACTTTATGCTGATTCTTCTTCGTCCTCCAATCCAGAAATTGCAGTGTCATTGCCGCAACCCTCTCCAGCTTTCAATGCTATTGGTTTGGCTTTGATACGATAAAAGTCTGCTCCTTGCACAAATTTTGTATTAGCCTACGATTTTGCCAATCGATGCCTTCAATGTACCTATAATTTATAGGTATATCGAAGGTAGGTTTTTAGGCTATAAACCTATTCTAGTTGACTGCAAACTATGAAGCAATCGCATATGAGTCATGTTAATATCCAAATCTTCTGCAGCATTATTCTCAATATTACTTTAGTATTTGTTGCGTCTCCCCATTTTGTGAATCGAAATCTTATTCATTTTAGGTTTCTTCTGAGGAGCGATCATCATTGTCACATTTAAAGATCAGCTCGGACATTTAGTTCCATCCATTACTTTCTTTCTCCTCACTTGGTTATTTATCTCTTTACTATATTATTTCTTAATATATTTTTCTAAAACCGGAGAATTTTCTTGTGCCATCGTCCACTTCTGGTTTGTAAGTTTTCCTGTTTTTCCTGTCGGTCCATTATGGCTTCTCAAACATAATTTGTATCTGTTAAATATACGATTATGATGATGTTCCAAAACTCTCTTGTACAATTGGTCCATGAGTTTTGCCTTGGATTTCTCTGTTTCGTTTTTGAGTAATTTAATTTTCGATACCTCCTATTGGTATTTAAAATTTAACTAGTGATGTATATTATTGAATGTTTTCTAATAGATAATTATATTTTGAATCATTCAAATCGGATGCTCCGTACCCTCAAAAGCTCGCATTTTCTGCACTCTTTGGCCATATTTACGAAATAGCTGGACCATGGCTGGACCTGTCTTTGCCAAAAACTAATCAGCACGTCTCCCCAACAATAGAAATCGAATGCTTTTAACTTCCCGTAGGATAAGTTATTGTCATCGTCCAAAAATCGAAATTGAAAATTTTAGCATTTTTTTACACGTTTTAAAGGTTTCTGATCATTTTGCCATACCTAAAAAAAAAAATTATGTGTGTGTGTGTGCGCGCGTGTGTGTTTTTTTGTGTGTCCGCATTTTTATCCAGGTTTTCGGGCGCACAGATTAACCGATTTGAATGTTTCAAAAAATATCCGATTCCTATTGATAGGGAGATGGGCTGATTAGTTTTTTGGCAAAGGCATCTCCAGCCGTTTCGGAGATATCGAGCGAAGAGTGCAGAAAATGAAAATGGAGTTTTTAAGAGAACGGAACAACCTATTCGAATGATCCAAAAAACATTCAATTTGTAATGATGGGGAGAAGTGGCGATAAGTTTTTCCGAAGGACAGGTCTAGCCGTTTCGGAGATACAGTGCTAAATGTGCAAAAAATGGCAGTTTTTGAGCAAACTAAACATCCGATTTGATCGAACATCCGATCTTATCGTGATTCAAAAAAAAATTCTGCTTGTGTTGACGAAACAATTGCTTTTGCAAAAAAATGTATTTAATTTGTTTTCTAATTCCCAATTTTTTTTTAATATAATTCGGATTTAATTTTCAAAAGCTCACTAAAAAAGTTTTAAAGCTCACTTATATAAATAACTGTATTTAAATTTAAACTTAGCAAGTCAGTTTATATAATTCTTATAAATATTAGACAATGTCCTTCATTTTAAATCCGATTCATTAAGTTTTGTTTATTTAGGTACGGGGAGTTCCAGCAATTTGCCTTAAGGCACCACTAGTTGAATTATTCAAATCGGTTAATCGGTGCGCCCGAAAACGTGGAGCAAAAATTGTATTTTTTCATACATACACACATCCATTTTTTCTTCTTTTCTTTTCGAAACGTAAAGATATACAAAAAAAATTCAATTTCTATTCTTGGACGATCACAATAACTTACCATATGGGAAGTTAAAAACATCTAAAAACTCATAATTTAAGGCTATGCCTTATATTTTCTCTTAATCAATCATTGCCAATGCAAATTAGATGTTTATAGAAACATAGCGATGACGTCATTGCATGACGCAAATGCAGATGACGTAATACGTGCGTAGCAGTGAATCATTCTTACTAGTGCATATATGTTACTTGAAGAATTAACTATAAGCTGGCCAGATACATATCAGAAACATGTGCAAAAAATAATTTTAGTAGATATATTTGACAACTCGGTATAATGCGTAGAAAATTATAATAAGGTTCGCACTTGTAAGGAAGAGAATTTTAGATTATGATGCAACAGTGTTTTTGGCAAATATGAATGAAGGAAGTTAATGGATTGTTGAGCTAAAATGTATTTTGTATACGATTGAAATTTGCATGGAAAAGTATTTCCCATTTCCACTAGGGAGGGCGTGCGCGCGCAACACTGTGACTGTGACTGTGACTGTGATCGCCGCCATCTTACCGTGACGCGCAGTTTACAAGTATATTCTCTGTGAGTGACGATTTTGTGAATTTGACGTGGCTCATACGTATTTACCCATTCCGAATATCAAAACGTAGTGACGATAAATACGTAAGTGGGTAAGTACTTATCAAACGAAGACCAACATACAGATTAATAACATCGATTCCGATCCCTTTCAATAGGGTTATACTCGAAATTGAATCATCAATTTACAAACATGTTACATTTGGCAACTGTTATTTGTGTACAAGTGCAGTGGACAATAAATAAATTCTACGAATGGCGTCATCGATAATCATAACAATAATATTCTGGAATCTACAATATTGTTGAAATTAACTCAACATCTTGAAGATGTACCTTTACTGACTGTCAGTTTGCATTTATTTTTGCGTCGTTATAATGTTTGCGTAACATTTTTTTGTTTATTCTTAGTGCAACGTGTAATTAAACAAATTCAGAAGCCATATAATTAAGTTGACTTACAACTATGATAATTTTTCATATTTCATGGAATTAGTGTTCACAAGTTTTAGGTTAGTGTGTTAATGATGAATATGTTTACTAGGGCGAAATGGAGGGACTGGTGGAGGAGAATGGGGCACCACCTTCGCTGGATCCTTTAGGCCCACCACCTGCTCCAGAACAGGTACAGCAGTATTTGGTAAACATCTAAGACTCATAGCATCACAATTTGATTTATAATATCATTAAGTAATGCCTTACAAACACTTAATCATGTATATAAAAATATAAATATATGTATGAATCTATATATGTATAACGATATATACATATCGTTAAGTTTTTCAAATTAAAATTGTTTTCTTGTTTTAATTATATTATTATTATTGTGATTATATTATTATTATTTTAGTATGTTTTACTTGTGAGGCTTTTTATAATGATATAATGAATTTTGGTGTTATGAAACTTCAATTTCGAATATCAATTTCCTTAATTTTTTATAAAATATATTATCAATATCATTCTGCTTGCAGGTGCAATCTGTAATTCAACCCACTCAGCAGTCAGTGATCCAATCTGCTACGAATATTCCAATGCAAATTTCAAAAGGAAATGTTATTCTTCTTAGTAAACCTACAAACTCAGTTATACATACGACACAGGTACTATATTAATAAGATTTTCATTTTTCATACTGCTTGTTTATTTGATTATTAAAATTATTTAATATCTGCAGGGTAGTTTGCAAACTTTACAAATAAAACCAGAGCCTACCACTCTTATGACAACTCCAATGCATATGGCTGAATCTAATAGTGATGATAATAGTGAATTTAGTGATGAAGAAAGTCCCAAAAAACGTCGAGATTTGTTAACCAGAAGGCCAAGTTATCGAAAAATTCTGAATGACTTGGGAGGCGGTGAGATAGCTGGTACATATCGATGTACTACTTTTTATATTGTTTTCAGTGATATAATTTTTGAGTTTGATACGTTCTAAAATGTTTTCTTGATTATAAATCAGGATCTTACAGTGTCTAAGTTATTAACTGATTATATAAATAAATATGCAATTATTATTAAAAAATCAAAAACATTTAATATCATTTATTCAGAAGTTTCTCAAATTTAATACATTATGAACATAGAAAATTGTTTGAAAATAACAAGCGTTTATTTTACTTTACTGATATCACTTTTGCTGCTTAACACTTTAGATATGGCAGTGTATGGTAACATAATTTAAGATTTGCTAATTATTATCAATAAAAAAATACTTAAAAATAAAAATTACACTTTTATAGAACTATAAATAACAATAACAAAGTGGAATTCTCAATATTTTAACCAGTAATAGTAAAATAGTAGAGTAATAAATCTCAGAGTAAGAGTCAACCCGCTGGATGACTATGTGCACACATATTGCCTATAGGCTATGCTCATAGCTAAAGGGTTAAAATTAGAAAGTACTGTATAATATGACAATTGTTCTTTATTTATTATTATTTATTAATTTGTTTAATTTTTAATCTATTATAATTTTCACATATAATTAAATTATTTGCAGTGATACCTGCGGGAGCATTACAAATATCTAGTGGTCAAGATTCACCATTACTCACAATGCAAGGAGGTACTGGAGCAACAATTGTACAATACACATCAGGACAGGATGGTCAATTCTTTGTCCCAGGTGAGTGCTGTTAAAATATGATACATGCATTTTTAATTTTCAGTGTTAAAAGTGCTTGTTATTTTCCAGTAGCACAAAGTGGTACTTTAAGTGGATCTGTTTTAGGAGAGGATCAAAATCGTAAAAGGGAAATGAGATTGCTTAAAAACAGAGAAGCGGCCAGAGAATGTCGAAGGAAAAAGAAGGAATATATAAAATGTCTAGAGAATCGTGTTGCAGTACTTGAGAACCAAAATAAAACTTTAATTGATGAATTAAAATCTCTAAAAGAACTATATTGTCAGCAAAAAGCAGAGTGAATTTAGTATAGCATATGAGAATTAGTACCCTTGAGAACCTTTGCCTTCATAGCATGAAATTGTGCAAGGCTTTGCTGATCATTGCTATATATTTAGACATTTGTGAGCATATTTGGTTGACTCTGTAAAATACTCAGCGAGGAGAGAAGTATCAGGCAAGTAATCAAGTTTTATTACTTAATGCATAACAACACGAATGACAGTTAATTATTAAAGTTTTCCAGATTATATAATTATATTTATAGTATATTTTAAATTATTATTTGAAAATTAAATTGTTGCGACTAATTTTATCCATGCTAATGAGTAAAATGTGATCTGGGTATTGACTATTAGATGTTTCATCAACGAAGAAGTTGTTAATAATGTTTTTAAATTATAAAATGCTAGATATGCAACATAATGAGAATTTGTATATAATGTATATTTATAAAGAAAATTTAAATATCAAATTATTTTTAAGTATGATTTATTAATTTTTATTTAAAGATAATGATTATATTACCATAACAGATATAAATTTTAAGAGAGATATATAAAAAAATAAATATGAGATAATTATATATATATGAGATGTAATAATATATTTTATATCACTATAAAGGCTTGTGATTGTCATGTACAGAGCCAAAGCTTAAAATTGTTAACTTTTTTATAATATGCACCTATCACATTTTAATTCTTTTTCAAATCAAAATTTATTTTATGTAAAATGTTCTGATTTTTGAGGATTGAGGAAATTGATATGAAAAACTTGCATTATTGTTTCAAAAATTTAAAAACATTAGGAGAGAAAAGTATTTTCCTGTTTAGTACGTCCCCAATATTTTATTTTTTTATCACATTTAAAACATTTTAAGAAACTAAACTGATTTTATCACATGATATTAATTTAAAGTGAAAAATGCAAGTTTTTTATTGCCAGACTTTCAAACGTGCAAATAAATTGAATGTGTAAATAATATAAAAATTACAAATTATTGATGCATCCTTACATAGTTTTATGTGTATATAAAAAGATTTCATTTATTAAAAAATACTGTGTATTTGTATTTAAATGAAATCATTAAATTATGACATGTTCTGATGATATATTTATATGTATGAATACATAAGCAGTGCCTTTTATAAGATGGTCCCTACCTTACATTTAACCAAATATCTGTACATTGTGAGAGCTTTTTGCCTAATTTAGTTAATTGTATATTTCACTTTAATTTTAGGTATAGTATATATTAATGTTTATATTAAGACATAGATCTATCTACTCGAGGAATGCCTTTCGTAAAGCATGTTCTAACATATATTTTTTAAAAGATCAGAAAAATGTTTTTCATTATATTAAATTATATGAACAGATTTTATCCAAATCTGACTTATTTATATAGATGACATCTACGTGTCTAAATTGTTATGCCATATTAATATATTTATAAACTCCTGTATTATATATGTTTATTTTGTTTATAATGTGCACATTTATATTATACTTACATTGCTTTCAAGTTTGTAATTGTACTTAAGATTACTGATAATTCTATTCATTTCTGAATTACAGAATGGAAATTTAGCATGTAATAATTGGTGTTTTCTTAAACTTGGAACATGTTTAACGTTGTAAATAATTAAATGAATGTATTTTTACATAAATTCTGTTGTTTTAATAATTGATGTGATACAAATAATTTAATATTTCTCTATGCTCAATTACGATTTTCTTTTCAATATAAGTCTTTAATAGGAAGTTATAATTTTCAATATTTGTTTTATCTATACACTTTTGAGACTAGTCTTTTTTCAATCTTAGCTTTCAAAGTAAAACATATTTATTAATTGATCATTTGCAAAATAAAATTATAAATATGTAACATTATTAATTTGAGCTCTTGTATAATTCAATATTTGAGTAGTAACTAAATGTTCGAAGGCTTCATTTAAGCCTAAATTTTGAATTTCTAATTGTTTATTAATGCTACTAAAAATATATTCATATATAGGTTTAAGAGCCTGATGATACACCAGATGAAAAACATTTTTTTTAAATAATTAGCTGCAATTAATGATGAGATTCTAAGTGGATAATTTACATGTTGTCGAAACTCATTTTATCTAAATCATGAGTTCTGCCTTATTCAGCTTTTTCAATACATTAGTAAGTTGATGATTAGTAAGTTCTTCTTAATAAATGTATGGCAATTTCAAAATTACGTCTTATATGAATCTGATTGAGAATTGCCGCCAAATTTTTATTCGTTCGCGCCATCTATGCATGCTATCTATCACCATGGCAACGGTAGTTCACTTTTCCGCCGCTAGTGTACGTTTGATAGGCCAATGAACAGAGCGACAGCAAACCGTCCGCCATTTTATTTGATGTGTTTATCGAGACTAGTAGTGAGACAAACGTTTGTGCAGTGCTATAAATAACAATAATTTGAAATGGTTTTTTGTTTGATGTTACAGTGTGTTAAAGATTATAACGGTGATGTGCGTTTGAAGTTAATGAACATACAAGTTTAATTAATGTTTTATTTAAAGGAGGAATAATAAATCGGTATGCTATTACTTGTTTTATTTTTAAGTTTAATATGTGTAGTTGTAAGTACTGGAGGTATCAAAGCACTTATTCAAGTCCTCAAATATGTCAACTAATATATTTAATTCATTCATTTATGTTTACATATTTCTGTTAGCACGTAAAGGGTTTACTTTGCGCATTTAAATTATTTACCGGGGATAGTTTTCTGTCAAACCTTATGAATGGAGACTTTAATAATTTTGTACTTACATTATTTTTTTGACATATGCCAAACTGCCACTTACCTATTTATTAGAATAGCATTTCACCCAATTGTCAAAAATGTTAAGGTTATGTTTTTTATTGAAATTATACGATAATTTTAGGGTTCTATTTCAAATAATTTAATTTCCGCGTATTTTTAAATAAAACATTTTATACTCGCGTCATTTAACTAATTTCCATCCGTTCTCAGTAAATACACCTCAAACAACTGATGAGGTATAATTCGAAATATAAACAGTTTATTTACTTAAAACCCTTTTTGCCGAAGGGAACTTTGGTTTTTGGTCAAGGGATAACATTTCACACATATCCTTGCACATATGTGTTTTTGTTTTAAAATGTAAATATTGGGGTTCATACTTTTTTAAGTCACTTTTTTAATTATATGATAATAAAGACTGTTCACCTTTTAATTTTTCATGTTTCTAGTTCAAAAAAGCTCCAATTTATTTTGACGTCAAAATATTGAGATGTTCGTATTTCACTAAAAGCTCCTTTCTGTGATAATCAGTAGAATCGATAATTTTTTAAAAAAAGATATGTACTATATTTGGAATAAAATATGATACAATCGCCAAATATAGATGTTGTGATAAAATGACGAAATTAAATTTTTTTTATTTCGGTTTTTGAAATATACATGTCAATGTTACTGTTATTGTCCTCAGAGTTGCTAATGAATACCAAATCGAATTTGTTGTTTTCATATAACTTTGAATAATATTTATATTGATTTGTGATATATAGCAATTGTTACGGATATTTTATGATGAGTGTACTAATAAAAATGACCTTCGAACAATGTAACATATCACGTATGATAAAAGTGTCTACAGGTTATTGACTAAAAGCAGTTTGTAACTAAAGGCAACCAATGCACTAATAATGCATTCTGTTTTTAACGAACTGATCCATTGAGTTCAATAATGAATTAATATTTTAATTATAATTATTTCCACATACTTAATAAAAAGATTTACAATGTAAGATACATTTTTAACTTCCCGTAGGGTAAGTTATACAAATCGCAAAAAAACGGAAATTAAACATTTTGGCATATCTTAGAAAAATAGATGAATGTATGTGTATGTTCGGATACAAATTTTCGTCCACGATTTCGAGAGCACGGATTAACCGGTTTGAATCACTACTGGTGTATGGCATCGTGCCTTAAGGCAAATTGCTGGAACTTCCCGTACCGTAACAAAATGTTCGAGGAATATTAAATGTTTTGAAGTAGATTATTATTAATATTGTAACATTGTCTAATATTTATAAGAATTATATAAACTGAATTGCAAAGTTGAAATTATTTGTTTAAAGTATATTGGAGATTTAGTCAGAATTAAAATTAAAATCTGAATTATTTTCGATATACAAAATTGAAACAAAATTTTTTTTCACAAAGTAATTATTTTGTTAAAACAGGCTGAAAGTTCTCTGGATCATTCAAATTGGACTCTTAGTTCTCTCAAAAACTGCCATTTTTTGCACATTTAGCTCTGTGTCTCCGAAATCGCTGGGCCTGCCTCTGCCAAAAACTAATAACTTCTCCTCGTTATTACGAATTGAATGTTTTTTTGGATGATTCAAATCGGATCCTCTGTTCTCCCAAAAAGTCGATTTGAATTTTCTGCAATCTTTGCTCCTTATCTTCGTAATGCTGGACCTGCTTGTGTTTTTTTGTGTTAATGTTTAATGTTTTTTAACCATTCAAATCGGTTGATCCGTGCGCTCGAAAACGTGGACGAAAAAATGCGGACACACAATGCACACATTCATTTTTTCTGATGGTATACCAAAATGTTTAGAATCCTTCAAAACGTGAATATATGCAAAAATATTTATTTCTGATTTCCTGCCCATTACTATAACTACCCTACGGGAATTTAAAAGAACATTCGATTCCTATTGATGAGAATTTGTGCCAATTAGTTTTTGGAAGAGGCTGGTCCAGCCGTTTCGAAGATATAGAGCAAAAAGTGCAAAAAATGTCAATTCGGTTTTTAAGAGAACTGGGGCGTCCGTTTTGAAAGATTGAAATTAAATCAAATTTGACTTGTATTTACGGAATGAAGAAATGGTTAAATTTTTTGGAAAGCAGGTTCTAGCGGTTTTGGAGATCTAATGAAAATAGTTTTAAATTTGGCGGTTAAAATGTTGGTTATAAGACATGTGCACAATTATAAGTATAAATTTTGTTTACATTTCTATACCAAGGTTTATATTTTTTAATTATGTTTTAACGCAGCGTGATTGTTTTGCCAAAAAAATTAATTTTCAAAAAAAAAAAATCTTTTCAAAGTTTTAAATTACGGTGCGGAAAGTTTCAACTTAACAGTTTGCCTTAAGGCACGATGCCATGCACCACTAGTTATATTTTTTATAATTAAACCACTTTTCATAGGCCTATAATATATTAAACTTTTCGGTTCGACCCTCAATCTCTTTCAACTTGTAAGGTTTTATCGAAATTCCAGAACAGTAAACATGAGGTTTTTCTTGTTAGTTTCATTAATTCTTCGTTATTTTTTAGCCATTTTGGGCTTAATTTTTTTATTATCATTGGTATTTTTAAACATGCACATAAACCAATGAGTTCATAAATATCACATGATAAAGATTTTATGCTCTGTTTATATACTGTCATACAAATTTTTATTAGAATATACCTCATTGTTAA